TCTCTCTCCTCGATCGCTCCTCTCTCTCTCTCTCTCTCTCTCTCTCTCTCTTTCTCTCTCTCTCTCTCTCTCTCTCCTCTATATCTCTATCTCGCTCTCTCTCTCTCTCTCTTCTCTCTCTCTCTCTCTCTCTCTCTCTCTCTCGTCTCTCTGTTCTCTCTCTCTTCTCTCTCTTCTCTTCTCCTCTCTCTCTCCTCTCTCTCTCTCTGCTCTCTCTCTCTCTCTCTCTCTCTCTCTCTTCTGTATTCCACTAGATGACCGTCTCCATGAGGTGACACAAGAAGTGGTCAGGACGCGATAGGATTTTGGCAATATGGCTTATTAAGCACATGGCCACAGCGTACGCTACGCCGAAAAGTACCTAACTGTCTGCAAGCCTTAAAACAAGACTTGTATGTGGCTATATGCACATGCCATGAATGTCTGCTTATCTGAAAAATCAAGTACAGTGACTGCTGGTGACGAAGCAGAAGACCATCAGATATGGGACGGGCAAATAAATAAGCCGTGCCTTCGGTCATAGGCGGAGGGACGGGGATTCCGTGAGTGCTATGCAGCCTGTTGCCGATAAGTTGGTTGGGCTGGAGCTTTGAAACAGTGCATCATGATGAACCATGTGATACTCACACTCCCAGAGCCAAAGTGCGCTCCGAAAACAGCCACTGTGGTAAAAGCCATGGGGAAAAACCAAAGCCATAGTAAAACGTGTCATTGAATTTGTGGTATGATGGTTTCTAAACGATGGTAAGATGGTTTTGTCTAAACAGTGTTTCAAATTTTTGTAGCATCTATTGCACATATATTTTGAGCTTGATGTTTTTGAAACATTACAGAACACACACCTTGTAAAAGGCAAGGCAGATGAAATGTATGAAATGCATACTGGTGCGCAGGGTATTAAATGGGATTTCTCCGCAGGGCCGGCTATTTCAGTTGCAAATTCTGGGCTACTCAGACGGATTTCGAGAAAACCGGCATCAGTGATCAAATCGTACGCATCTGATGCAACACTAAGTAAAAGGTACAAAAAGGTGGGATGCTCAATTTAATACCAAGCTGAACCCTATACCACATTTTTAGCAAAACAATCATGATAATACTGTATGCCTGTGCCCTCGCTCTCGGGATCAGAATACGAACAATCCATGCCAACTCCGTGTAAACTTATAAAGTTCTGCCTGTGGCTGAGCTCGTTGCATATGGAGGATTACGTGCAGGAAGTGTAATGGTCGAGTGTTAGAGCATCGGCCGCCCCCATGGGGAGCCCGGGTTCGAGTTTAATTTTTCCGAAATTCGAATCCCGGTTGCGCCATGGTCCCTGGCCGCTAATATGACCAATGCAGTCGCTGGCGCCCCATAAGAAGAGCCTGATTATGTGCATCACGTTGCTTTCTTTTTTACTGAAGAGGACTCCCTCCACATGGTTTTACTCCAAATGCAAGCATTCCAACTCGCCCCCGACAAGTCTCAACTGCACCAGTCACCTCAGACCCGCGACCCTGGCCATGGCAATCTGCTGCAGTGCAGTCAACTGGATGTGCAAGGAGGTCCTTGGAAGTATACCTGAGTCTCCAAAACAATGCCTCATCGTTTATGTAAAAGCTGCAGCTCACTTCAGTATCCTGTGTGCGTGCTGTGAGGATCTTCAGCATTATGACGCATGTGAATACTCGCCACCCCAAATCCCAGCACTATTTTGCAATAAAAACGAGCTTCACTAGCGTTTTTTTTTTGTACTGTACGTCATTACACGTCACACACACATTTACGATGGCGCTGCCCAAACGGGTGAGTTGCGTAAATATAAACCCATTTAAAGGGAATATTTGACAGCTAAAAGTACTTAAGCCAGTATCGGTTATGACGAAATATACTCCATTATAGGTATTGCTATTGGTATAGCTCCTTTGTAACTATTGATGTAAGCACACCAGGTCCGAAAGGCTGGACGGCAATATTCTTCTTGACTTTGAATGCCACATGGCCAATGGGGTGGCAAGATTAGAATGACGTTGCTTTGGCGCCATACATGCCTGAATGACCTTGAGGTGGACCGCACAAAATGGTCTACACATCTTCGGGTGTGTGTAGCTCAGAACCTGGAGGGCTATACGCATCAGCAAGGGCAGGGCTATGATCAGCATCGAATCATCTTCAAAATGGGTATTTCAGGTCAGAGTCTCATGCAAATGTAAAGTACTTCCTTTAAAAAGCATGACTCAATGGGGGTGGGTTGGCGGCAGAAGCGATCGGAAAAGTTACGGGGTGCAATTTGAAGTACTTATGATAGTTTGCGGCGGCTGCAAACCTCTTCACATGATGCAATGTAAGTTGGTCACTGGTCAACATCACTTGACCGGCAACGTAAACCGGCCATTGGCCAACGTCACTTGGTGTTTCCGCATGCTTACCGGACGGTGTATTACTAAGTGCTGCCGACAGGCCCATCGCGCGATGGCTAGACTTTGGCGGACCCGTACAAGATACTCGTGATTGCGCCCAAGGAGGACAGCAAAGTGCATTCTACGTCAACCTTGCACGGCTATCAACTGACACTCTGGCACATGTCTCCGATCAGGGCATCCAATTTATTCGGTTAGCGTCATGAAACTGCATCATTCAATGCTGGGGAGGGGGGGGTGTCGGCGTCAGCGACGGTCTGCAAAGTTACGAAGATCAATTCAAAAACGGATTTTCGCGTGCATGCCGTACAACCTTGCACACGCGATGCCGATGTGACAGCACTGTCGCCCGCTTATGCAAATCGGTCATCTGCCGGTATTATCTCGTCATATGACACCCTTATGAAGCAGTACTAAATGAGGCTATCCGCACGGTTGCTTGGTAGCCAGGATACGTCGGCACGGCAAAATAATTGGAATTGCGCACGAAAAGTGCAACCGTGTGCATTTGATAGAACCGTTGTATTTCTATCAGCTGGCGCTACATCACACTTATCCACGCAATGCAGCCATTTTGTTCGCTCGCCCCGCTGACGGCGCGTTTCTCGATGCTGGATGACTATTCCGTGCTTTTGCGGTGGCCACATCATGGCTGCGTGGTTGTTCTGCAGTTACACGACCGTTCTGCGGCTGTGCTGAGGTTAGAGACGACCCTTCGATGTCTGTGCTGGGCTCGGACGTATATGATTTGCTGCTGTGCAAAGATGCGCACACGCGTTTCGGTACTTGTTACATCACGTATACTGACGTTGATTTGTCTGGGTTATCACCACTTTGTCTGACTGTTATGCCTTTTTGCATAGAACAGACACCCGTTTTTCGACATGTCCTGTCAAAGATACTTACCGTCTTTTACAGTGTGGTTATTTGACACTTGTCCTGCTATGCTGTTTCCTGCATGGAAGCCGTTTTGTCAAGGCATATCCTGTTGAGAATGTATCGTTCAGCACTTAAATTGCATATATTCACACGTGCACACGTGCATATATTCAAAACACCACAGTTTGGAGCAGTCAACAACCAAAATCAACAGATTCGCGTGACATCCTGTGGTTATAACATGTTTTGTGCAGACGCAGGTATAGTTCCCAAACCGGAATAGCGAATATGAAAACGGGTAACTGGTAGTGATACCAGCTCGGTCAAGTTGCGCACCGCAATACACACCTGAGTCCGAGTGCGAGCCGTGGCTAGTACCGGAGATATTGTGGTCTGCAGATGCCAAGTCGCATAACTCATGCGCACCGGTCCCTGTTCTAGAGTCGCGCACGCCCTTTGACACCTGCTACACGGTTCGCGCACGCACGTATCGCTGTAGTCTAGGTACTGGACCGATGCTGATGGGAAAATGCAAAAGGAAATTCCCTTGTTGCAGGAAAAGTGCACAGCTTGTGCGTAGGCCCCCACGAGGTACAATGTAGTGCAAGACGAGTACAAATTTCAGGGGAGTCTGTGAAAGCCACAAATACTATACCACATTAAACTCTTGACACTCGTTGACGTAACATGACGCACAAAAATAAGCCGCTCAGTTTTATTCCACCAGTACGTTGTGCGCCGAATGACTGCCAGCACACGTGCCTTTCGCCTGACTCCACACGTCCCTGACCTGACCTGGACGGACCGGCCAGGTCAGACCGACTGACTGACCAATCAGGTCGGCTCGATCGGTCACAGACAGGAGGTGCGAGTCTGAGGCAGACGATTTAACAGAGCAAACGCCAAAATGCCAGCCGTACACGCATGCCGCCCTGTCAGCCCGCGCATGCCTGCCATTGTTAATAATCAGCACGAAGAGCTACGCCAACAGAACTTGGTGTCGGGGTGCTTCTATCGGGGTTGGGCCGGGTCACGTGACCCCGCCGGCGAGCTGCCGGTCGTGACCGGTGAGGCGGCGGCTGGGCCGACCTCCGCCGGCAGTGGCTGGTGGCCCGGATGGGCGTCGCCTTCGAGGTGGGGCTGTTGCGGTCGCCTGCATGGCTCTGCTTCTCCTGCCGAGACGACGTCAGGGACGGTCATGATATCGAACCGAGAGAGGCGTGCGATCGGACCGAGAGGGGCGTGAGATCGGACCGAGAGGGGCGTGAGATCGGACCAAGAGAGGCGTGAGATCGGACCGGGAGAGGCGTGAGATCGGACCGAGAGAGACGTGAGATCGGACCGAGAGGGACGTGAGATCGGACCGAGAGGGACGTGGGATCGGACCGAGAGAGGCGTGAGATCGGACCGGGAAAGGCGTGAGATCGGACCGAGAAGGGCGTGATATCGGACCGAGAGAGGCGTGAGATCGGACCGAGAGCGATGTGAGATCGGACCGAGAGAGACGTGAGATTGGACCGAGAGAGACGTGAGATCAGACCAAGAGGGCGCAAGATCGGACCAAGAGGGGCGTAAGATCGGACCGAAACGGTCCCAGAAACCGAGCAGCAAATCTCGCCGAGCGTGGCGTGGGATCGGACCGAGGCGGTACTAGACAGGATCGTGAGATCAGACTGAAATGGTGAACAGTAGCTGCGAAAGGATGGCGCGTCTTTCAGGGATCCGGTTAGGCTTCTGCTCATACCTGACTGCATTGCAAACAGGTTGAACGACTGTCAGTGGTGTGCTGCTTGGTGTTTTTAGATATCTTCTGCATAAAATGAAAATGTGCTATGCAGTAAGTAAGCAGGTTGTAAATGCAAAACACAAGCGACGGGTGCAATTATGACGCACATTTGAGCGTTATCATCGTCATAGCAGAAGCCACAGCTCCGGGCAATGACTTCGGTCACTGTGTGGTCCTGAATTATGCACTACGTCCATCAGTCATGCCTCCTCAAATCCTTGAAAAATGCCCCAAGCGCAAGCATGGTTAGGCCTTTGAGATTAAAGTGTTCACGGGTCACACAGTCTACTGACCTTGATGACGGGACTCGGATGGCCGCCTTCCGGGTCCTGGCGCATGGCACCGTACGGCGGCGGCCCGGTGGTGCCCAGGGGCAGCTTGATGGCGTGCTCGTCCGACAGGCAGCTTGTAGAGCACCTCCCTCAGGCGCGCCAGAAGCCACAGGCCACCGTGCGCCAGGAACACGAGGAAGACGCTAAGGCTGACGAAGCCGCTGGTGGTGGCCGTGTTGCTCCAGTCGATGCCGTCGATCACGGACGAGCCGCTGGCCGTTGTGCCGCCGGCCATGACGTAGATGGCGTTGAAGACGATGTAGATGACGTGCAGGAAGAGCGAGTAGAAGACGTGCAGCATGTGCTTGGGCTGGTTGTGCACCAGATGGTCCAACAGGACGTACAACAGGCTGGTGAAGTAGCGGGCGGCACGGAAGGCGCCGCTGCTGTCGTCCTCTGAACCCGGCACGGCAGGGATAAGGTGTCGGCATCGGTCGGCCATTCACAGATAGAGATCGGTGCGATGGGCTCTCTAACCGCTATTTGAGGATCTTGCCCTGCTGGCCATGGTCTCTTAATACGATCTCCAGCCGGCCCTTTGGGCCTTCAAATCAGGTATTTAATCGTCGGTCCCGAAAAGCCCGAAGGGTCTTATGCACCCCTGCCTGCGCCACCGGTAAGAGGATGAGTTGGGATGGATTTGTATAGGTATGGACAGGACGATTACGAAATATCTGGTAGATATTTTACCAAATGCTACCAGAAACAATGTCGCTGCTTGTGTTTCTCTCAGCTGCAATGGGCTTTGTTTGCACTAATTGTGCGTTATAAATGCAAAATAAAAATAAGTGTGTAAATGGTTTTGAAACTCGTCCATAATTTAGAATCTAAGCGCTTTGGAAACGCAATTGAGTGGTTAACAGGCGGGTGCAGCTAATAAGCAATAGGCTGCGATGCGTATCGGTGCAGTTCTCTGGGTGGCGGGCTGGTTGGGTAAAGAAAATATTAGCCGTGAGGACGTGCAGTGGCGATTGTAGAAGGCCGGCAGTCAGGAGTCGCTGGCCGACTGGCCAACTCGACTCCACTGTAGACTTAACGCGCTGCTGTGAGAGCTGGTAACTAAGCTTGGTTTGATGTGAATGATATCGGTAGGTCAGCGCCGTCGTGGCAACGATATTGTACCCTTGGGTGGAAAACTACAAGGAAGAAAAATCTCTTTTTTCACATCTGGTGTACCAAGCAGTGCCCGTCTCAAAGGCTGAGTCTCAGCTCATGGGATATGCTGCGATATCACTTACCGATGAAGGCGACGTTAACGGTGACGACGGCGAACACGCCACTGACGTTGGTGAAGAACCACTGAATACCATACAAGAACCGGAGCAGTGGGTTAAAGCTGATCTCCTGCAGAACGTATGCTCCCGGGACCGCGGTTCTTCCTGCAACATGCGGGCAGGAGAAGGATTTCAAACGATGAAATATTGCGACTGAGTTGCTCACCGAACGTCGCTGATTGAGCTCTGTAAAGTTCTCAAATGACATAGGGTTCCGCCTGCCACCAGGAAGTCATGTATGTTATATCCACTTCTATAACAGGTTAATGTATCTCCGCATGCATGACGAAGAGATAACGCATTGCAGTGCTTAAGAGTGCCATACATTTGTCATCTTTGAACGTTGTTCACGCAGATACGCATAAGCTTGGTCAGTTTTGTTTCGGTAATCGCATCACGCTTACCACCCTGGGATGGTTAATAAGACCTATTAAAGGAAAATAAAAACACAATGAAACTCAGAGGTTTTGCACGTCCTCAACGGCTTTTCACGTTTTTCCACCAAAAACATTTTTTCTAATTTTGTTTTTCCAAAGGCCTTTTCCAAGGAATCCTGGATGCTTTTGCAAATATATTCTTAAAGTGAAAGTATGCTCAAATTTTCATCTCTCATGGACCACAACCCGGCACGAGTCTTAGAGAGCTTCTTCTTATAGGTTGGCCTTGTGACCAGAAGTGCTCGGATGCACAGGAAATACGGGCGGCCAGGGACAGCCGGGATGAAAAACCCAAGCGTAAACAACACTGACGTCACACCGCCACATGACAAACAAATGAGAAGCCTACCGCGGAATACACATGACAACGCGCATATGCAAATAAACGACCACTGCTAACTCCACAAAACTCAGGGCAAACGCATATTTTGCAGCAGTGCAAGCTACCCAAACCTGAATTTATCCAAAAAATTCGATGGAAGATACGTATTTCAATGTGGGAACATGGAAAAAGGAGAAGAATGGAAAAGGGAAACACATCGTGGGGCCTGGCCGCTCGGCCGAGCGTTCAGCATTCTCATAAGACGGTCTTGACGCATGACTGCAGGGCGAGACCGTGCCCATCTCCCGGCTTTCACAGCGGATGTGCATGGTCAAAAAGTGCGTATGCCAGCTTAAAATCGCTTTTTGGTGGGCGCCAAATTGCCCCAGCAGACGGCCGGTCACCGGGTCACCGCAGGGGCGTAGGAGTTGGGCTAAGCCTCCCAGTCCACACAGGCGCCAATTTCGACAGAATCCCATCACCGGAACGGGACGTTACCGAACGCCGCAGTGGCATAACGGATCTGCCTGCTGGTCAAACCAGACCGAGGCGGCCCCCGCTGGTCTTGTGTCATAGCCGTGCTACTCTGGGTCCGCTATTCTGGAGCGGTGGTCGATCAGCCCCCGGTGGTGGCCGTGGGACCCCTGTGCGCTGACCTGGTGGACGTTTCCGCAGCTTCCACAGCTGGTAGTGGCAGGTGTGTGCAGCTTGCAGCACCACGTCAATCATCACGAACAGCTTGCTCCAGTTGGTGATGTGGATCAGCCAGCGGGAGCGCTGCCGATGCGGGCTCAGGTGATACGATACGGGCAACTGGGGCACTCACCGGGTGCAGATTCCTCATCTGCCCGTGGAGCTAAGTCATTGCTTAATTTTCAGCTTGCTCAGAAACAGCATATGCGACAACTCATGGCCATTTAGGAACAGTATAATTCACCAGCCACGGGAAAATTTCCGGACATGACGAACATGATCAGCAAGTACTGACCCAGACCCGGCCGATAACCCCCGAAAGGGAAGGCATACCGCAGCACCTGACAAGTGATACCACATACAGCCAGCATTACCTGACCCAGAGCCGGCTAATAATCCCCAACGGGAAGGCATACCGCAGCACCTGACAAGTGATGCCACATACAGCCGGCAGTACCTGACCAGGAACGGCATATGTCGCCATGTCGATGACAGTCCAGACGAAGAAGAAGCAGGCGACTGCCAAGCGATAGCAGAGATATCCCGTGCTCTTCCGGCCAGGGTATTGCCACTGGAAACAAACCGCCTCGATGTCGTTGGCACGCTGCTGTGTCGCTGCGCTGATCACCGCTCGCCATTCATTAAAGTTGTGGTTATGGGTATTAATCAGGCGCGGTCGTAAGCAGTCACGATCCTTGAGCCAAGACATCAGAAGCGCATTTCAAGACGGCAACAGCTACCGGTGAGTATGTAAGAAAAGTCCAGCCGAGGATAACCCAAGCTGCTCGTACTGCGCGTCCACAAATGTTTGACGGCCTGGTTGGCAGACGCTATCACCACCACTACATATGGCAAGACGCTATCATTGTCTGGCCAGTTCGCAAAGGGCAAGTCTGCTACTTACCCGAGTGGTGACGAAACGCCATGGCTCCTTGTGCCAAAGGCTGAGGTCGTGGCACGTCAGTGAACACCTGCACATGCTGGTCTTACATCAGGGCTGGTCTCGATGAGCAGAGCTGGAACGTTTCAGCCCCCTACAAAGGCTCGTCAGGGTGGTTATGAGCACACAAGGAGGCACGGGATCAGGCACGTATGACTAATGATGCACATTCTAACGGTTTGCACTTCTTTGAATAGGAACCATGGATGGGATTGACTCAGGAAACAAACCCCGAATGCAACCGGCAAAGTTCTGTCCATTAACACATACCAGATATATAAATACATACGTTGGTCGAGGTCTAAAATATGTTTGGACCATGTCCTTTCCAGCTACTTTGACATGATTTTCAAAGTTTCTGATGTCCTGCCCTAGAACTCAGTTAGCGCTATTTGTGTATTGGTTGACATTTCTGTGTCTTCCCGCAAGGAAGTCAATACGCATACATTTTTTTGCAAACGAATGTGCAAAAGACATAACTCAGACATGCGCGCGACCTTACCTGCCTTGCGTCGACGGACGGTGTTGCTACTGTGCTGCCCTGGCCACCGCACACCGTGTGCGGGACAAGTTGACGGTCGCCCTCGGCGCAGTGCACAGGTGTCGGCTGCGGCCGTCACGGCGCGAGAGGGGCTGCACCTGTGCAGACCACCTCCGGACGACGGCCAATATCGATCGGTCCCGAGACCGCGGCCCGCTCCGCGCCCGTGACGCGACACCGCGGCCCGCTTCTCGCCCGTGACGTGACACCGCGGCCCGCTCATCGCCCGTGAAGTGACACCGCGGCCCGCTTCTCGCCGGTGAAGTGACATCGAGGCCCGCTCCTCGCCCGTGACGTGACACCGAGGCCCGCTCCTCGCCCATGACATGACACTGAGGCCTGCTCCTCGCCCGTGACGTGACACCGCGGCCTGGTCCTCGCCCGTGGCGCGACACCCGACACCGTCTATCGAGAGGCTGGTGCAGCAGGTCGTTCAGCTGAGCCGTGGCCCGCAGTAATCGGCAGTTATCCGCGGTATCCGGGCAATGCATTTATGTACTACAATCTTCCACATATGAGGGAATCCCTGTCAGGCATATGCTGGAAGTACTGTATTGTATTGCACAAATCGGCACATGCAAACGCAACACTAGCTATTAAATATATCAAGGATTTGACGCTTTTCATAACGTGAACGGATTAGCGGGGCCCATGCGTCGGGGCCCCCGGATAACTAAGAGATTGACGTCGTGTTGTTATGTTATTCAGTGACAACACTGCACTAGACAAGGCCAAGCATTGCCTACCCCCTAAAATGGTCGTCTTTCCGTTAACACATGGAAATGCTAATGAAACCATTCAAGTTCAAGTTCTTTATCGGCGAATCATTCCAACAAGAAGACAGTTGTTCTTAATGTCGGTT